TACATTTGAAATTATTTCACATGTTTCTCGAATCACAGAATGTGCAGTTGATAATCCAACACGGTATGCTAACGCTATGGACGTCACTTGATCACCCGATGCAAGATATCTACTTTCGCATGAAAAAATAACATTATCAATAGAGAAAAATTTATATCAAATTATATTCAGACTATTTTACCTGAGTGTCATAATAAGACGTTGCTCTGGAGGCAATGCTCGCCAATTATTTTTTTGCAAGTAAGGTCGTACTTTTGAAAGTAATAAGTTAAAAGTATCTTTATTCATCCTAGTATATTTAAAAAATATATCTACATCATATTTCAATTCTTGAAACAGATGCATAAAATCTCCTTAATAAGATCTCATATTATTAATGGGACGAATCCACCATCTTCTTTTATATCTTCTTAAGAAACGATAACTTTTTTTTCTTAATATCATATAATAGTAAAGTTGTAACAGCAGTAATGTATAAGTTGCATATAATACATGTTCATCTTCATTCATGTTAATGATTTTAACATATGCCTTTTACAAATTTTAGAACGATTATTTAGAATACTTCTACCACCTCAAATTAATTAATCCTGGAATTAATCGAACAAATGTTGAATGTAAGCGACTGACGTGTCATTGAAAAATAACAAAATAATTTATAGCGAATACAAAAATAATACTTCACAAAAACTGTGTACATACATGCTACAGCAAGTGATATCTATTAATTTTATATTCGTTATAATCTGTTTACAAAGAAGCTAGTATTTCCTGTAACACTGACGAAGCAACTAAAGTGGTTAAAAGTTCTTATTTAATTAAAACTTATTCGACGCATATATTCAATCAAAACGAAAGAATCTGACAAAAAACGCAATAGCAGTTAAACCTCATGAAACAAGTTATCAAGGTTAGTTTCTGTATGCTTATGCATACATTATGCATTTGTCTAGATCTTATTGTGATTATGATTATGCATATGGTTATGCGGCTATGCAAGTTTGTGTGTAGATATACCTTAAGACGCGAATTAAGGAACGCTTCTATTTGACAGAGAAATGTCGCAAATTCGTCCCGAGAAAGCGTACGCGACCCGACGATTTTCTTTAGATGCGTTTTAATGTTTTAAACTGCGACCTCTTACAAATCCCCAAAATCAGGCGCAGCTGAAGGAATAAAACACGTTCCTCTTCCTTTTATGGCAAGTCGCTCTCCAATTATTAACTTAAATGTACCAATAAGAATCTGGTATAATGCATGTCTCAATTTCAGAATTGCTTTCTTATCATATTTACAACAAAGTTCTTGCGCTTAAGTTTGAATTCGTTAGTGGCTGTCTATGGCTGTGTTCCAAAATTGTTTGTCAGCGCTGGCAGTACTGCCAACACCGTTCCAAAAATCATCGTAGCACGCTGTGGCAGTGCTGCGAGAGGGTAAAGACGTCATTAATGTTGTCGTCA